AATCAAAACAGCGCACCTATTTTCTAGTTTCCAAATTGAATACATCTGTTTATTTCATCTAAGTTAAAAACTTTTCTCTTGGTAATCGAAGTCCATCGAAATAGTCACGGCTCTAACCGATGAGTATCTGAATTATCTTTCGTTTTCGCTTACAATGAGCTGTCCTGTCCGATGGTTGTCTGATTCCTGGCGCGAATTTGCTTTCTTTATTCATTCCATTTATCGTAGTTGTTTTTGACACAGCCGGCACGAGCAGGTCACGTGAGCTGTGTTGATCAGATCGAAATAGTAGTGTGTGATCTATCATTATCTGATTGTGCAAATTGGATGTCACAGGTGACCGTTTCCGGATGACTCGATGCTCTTATCTCTTTCCGGGTCATTTCGGTCGGTTACGAATCGTATGTGTGTGCGGTCTTACTCTGTCAGATTTGTGGGTCTGTGTGTGGTCACGCTTGTTTCATTTATGGCCTCACATTGGTATGACAACAATCAAATAGTTATACTGGAACGCAAAGTAGTGCTTTCACCCACCTGTGACACACCTAATCTGGCTTAAAGCAGTCTGACTGGCAGTGACGTAACGTTTGCTTATAGGCCGTTCACGCGAGCGAACAATTTCGCCACCCCCGCCCTAGCAGACTGCTTTCACAGCTATGGACCGTATGTGAGCTGTTGTGGTGGGTAGTGATGGACAGACAGACAGAGAGAGAGTCTGATCTAGTTAGTCATCATGCAGCAATTATTCTTCCGTATTGCGTCACGTAGGCCGATCTCGGCAAATATACTGAATATAGGAACTGGGGCAGTGCATCGGTTATATTAGTTGATCATACAGACTATGCGTAAGCGTGTTCATCGGAAATGAAATGCGCTGAGATGAACTCCTTGTCAAGGCTAACTTTCACCGAAACCGTTCCCAACAAGCACACAGGTGAGTGGATTGGTGTTTCTTTTTGTATATGTTATCACAATATTCATACGTAAAAGAAATGTTCTATCCTCTTTGTTTTTCGGCAATTGACTCACCAGGTTATCGAGTATCATTGTGAATTGATTTACCTGATAAAACCATTACTATACAACGATATAATCTGTTGGTTTCCTACTCTGAAACACACACACACGATTTGCAGGCCTAGGATCAAGAGTAAAAAGTGATTCCGATGGAACGCTACCTTTAGTTGATAGGACGCGGATGAGCAAAAATGCACTGAACATAGTTCTGGAACTGCTTGATTGAATATATTAGGCGGTAAGGTAACTCCACAATGTCTGCTCAGTCTTCCATGACCGTCACCGAATGGACGTGTTCCAAGGCATCGGTATGCGTGGCAGCGATGATAGCCAATATCGAATGGCACAAGGTGAGAGAGAAAAAGAGAGATAGATCCTCTTCCATGGTGTTGCAGTGAAATCGATCACCGGAGCCAGCAGGACCGGTCTGGTGGTAACATGCGGGGCTGAAAACTGCTACCGTCCTGATGCAAGTGGCCATGGTTTTTCCGGCATCGTGTGTAATAAATTGCTATAGCATTGTGAAACATTTTTTTAATTAATATTTGTTTACTACTCAACTAAGCCTGCGGTATTCGAGCTGAGTTAGATCACTTCGAGGGAGGGGATGCACGGGTATTTCGTTTCGTTTCGGACTAATTCGTTGAGCATGTAACCATTTCAGAGGACATGCATCATACAGCATACCGAGTGCTTCAAAACAGTCAATGCGATGCAATCATTCAGATCAACCGTCTCCGACAAAAGAAGCAATTTAACTGTAGGATTCAAATTTTCTCGTGAATTATGCCATAGGTGCATTCCAGGAAGGGGGAATACAATAATTTGATTACAGATTTTCGATAGCTACTTCATGTTTTATTCCACCTGCATTGTTTTAACAAGCTCATGAGAGAGATTTAACTGTGAAAAGGTCAGTAACCTTGATGAGATTTGTATGATGTTATACGCCAGCTGGTTGGGTGTGATATTTTCACAGTTCAACCATATTTTTGGTCTAAATTCGGAAGTATTCATCGGACTACTTCTGCTCCATATGTATTTAGCTAAAATTACATCCGTACGCAAAATTTAATTGTACTTTAACATGTATAACAAAATATCATACATTCTGCATCGAAGTAATTTGCTGCAAACATACCTCAGATGATCGTTTACGATTGTTGGCATTTCAAATCTGCTATCTGCCTGCTTCGTCTAGAATTTCATAACTATTGAGGGTAAATCGTTGTGAACGGCTATGTACAGATAGACAGCGGCTATCAAAATTAAAAATAAGATATTACCATTTCGTTCATTCTTCTCAATCGCTGACGTAAAACAAACATGTGTTTACTAGGATTTACAAATCCAACATGCTTTAAATGTGCTTGTTTGTTTTGTGCTTACGATTGAGAAGATTACACGACATGTTACCGTCTGCTTTTTATTCGAATAGTCCCAAGTATCGATAGGTTCGATTCTTTTGGGGGTGGTTTTTGGAAGAGTGTGCACTATACATACGGAACTAATAGCTGAAATATACGGAAACTGGAGTCAGGAGCCACTCAAATTTTAGGATTGTAAAAATTGCCCTCATCGTTCCTCGAAGTTTGTGTGTGTGTGTGTGTGTGTGTGTGTGTGTGTGTCTATTTAATCAGACTGAGCGAGGAAGAGAAGGGAGAGCTGCCGGTGGAAATTTTGCGAGTTCTCCAGTAAGTGACATCTTCCAGCTCTCAACGTGTGCTATCCGTCGTTTTTTATGGTTACGCCAAAACAACAACAAGATCAACTTTCTGCAGTTGTTGTGGCGACGCGGCATGCATATTTTTATTGAAATTCTAAAATGTTGCGAGAACCGTTCGAAGCAAGTTGACCCAATAGTACTTGCTGAAATCCATGTCCTCAATGCTGCAGGGACATTGGTAAATCTTATGAAAATGAACAATAGCGTTATACTAAGTTCCTTCTAGGTGGAGTTTGCCAAGTTCATCATGTAGTTTGAATCAGAATCCACGGAGCGAATGTGGCTATTTGCTGGATGATTGAAAAATAAACTGATTGCATATTCCTCCCGTTATTCACACAGTCCGCGGCAAATAAAGTGACCAGAACCACCTCGATGGTGTGTGTGTGTTTGTGTGTGTGACTGAACAGTTATGGTCATAGCTGTTTTGAGTATAGCTTATTCCGGCATACAGTTTCTTCACCTAGAGTGGAGAAAGTTCGGGCAGGTGGATCCCTGGAAATGAGTTTGAGAAATGCAAGAGCATTGGTTTTTGACTCACAATGTAAAAACATGAAGGCGCGTCGATCGCCGCTTCCAAACCTAGAAAAGCGGGAATGTTAGATGTCTTCGCAGAACCAAGACAATTAGGTGGTTTGAGTAAACATTTTCACATGCATTCAAACACACTATATCTGGAGTTTGTTTTATCTATGCTTATTGCGTGCTCACAAAATAAAAGAAACTTCGATCTGGGCTGAATAAATCCTATGAAAAAGCAAGCGATTTTAAGTAAAACGTGTGATCTTATTTGTCACATCAGCATTCATCGACATACAATGAAAGAAACTGATTTAGTAGTTCACGGGTATTTGTATATGGCATACTATTCCAATTTTGAACATCCGAGACCGTTTCAAATTGCTAATAAAACTGAGCCAGCACGCTGTCTGAAAAAGTTAGAGGACGGGGTGGATGGTGCTTTACTTGATACGACGTTTCAGATAACTGAGGAAATTTCCCACTATTCTTAGGGAGAATTTGTAAGTTTTCCGTCTGATTTGTGCCTAATTGCCTCCATGCCTGGTAGTCTTACTTCTGAGTTTTAGAAATGATGTTCAGCATGTACTGAGTGCATACGAACACAGAACTAAGAAATGAATTCAGTTAGACAGAAAAAATAACTTGATCGAATAGTTTATCAACGTTTGTTTGAAAAGATTAAGAAATGAAACTATTTGGTGTAAGCCATGTTGAACAATCACTGCAATGCAGCTCTTCAAGAGGTTAGTCGGGTTCCATACTGCCGCATGAGTGGACTGTTATTGGTGAACAAATGCACATGGTTTTCAGTTATCTATGTATTGTGAACACGCTATGTGTCTGATGAACATTTGTTCTTTCAATTTTTTCATCCGTGTATCAAACAGGTTCCAGACTCGAATGGATAGCAACACTCCAGTGACATTATCACCTACAGTCCCACAAATTTGGTTACTCGACAAAAATAAATACGGACAACAAACCGTTTCACTAGATAAACGGAATTAAAATAACTCAGATCCTACGCGGTGAGTTGCTCGCACAGACTCGATTGTTCCAGTTTTAAGAACATAATCCCCGGTGGCTGCTGCACGTTTGCCGCCGATGGAAGAGTATAAAACCGGAGCACGTCAACAGGCATTGGATAGGAAGGAGTACAGCCACTGCGGTGACTACCGTTGAACAGATGGATATTAAGTAAGAAGTCACAGACAATCTGTGGTAATGTTTGAGGACACTCAGAAAGTGCTGTCTCAATTGCAAATCCTTAAAATTGGTATAACGCACCATGACGTGTCTGCGCACCCGGACCACCGACGGATCATTGTTAGTACGTTGCCCTGCGGGTAGCACCAGCAAGAACAAGTAAATAGCTAGTGGCACCGGTCACAGATTCAACCGAGAAACTGATTCATCCTCATTTGGTAGAATATCAGCTACAAATAAGATGATGCGAATAACAAATACTCCACAGAAAAGCCTATCCGTATGACGGTAAAAAGACATGGCGTTGTACTTTTGTCAAATGTCAACTTCTGATCGATCAGGTGCCTCACATTTTCAACAGAACCGTTTTGAACTGTGTGCAATCCTCTCTCTCCGTCCTCACTCCCCGGTTCCTTATTTATTCCAAATCGAACATGTGCCCTCAGATCATACGAGTTTCGACTCGTTCGAGAGCGATTTGATCAGACCAACAGACTACCCTGAACCTCCCCACGTGTCCACGCCGACAATGTTACCGGTTCTGTCTGTCGAAGATGTGGAGTCATTCTTCTTGCATCATTCCTCCCCAGATTCCGACCAAAGCCTGACTACCACGCCTTGGATTTTCGAGACCCAAGTGATCGAGCAGCAGCATATTAGACACACACAAACCCCGGCTCCGGAACAAATCAGGTCACGAACCGATTCATCATCAGCTCAGACATGTGGCTCACCCCAAGCCGGTCGTAATAAGGCAGCCTCATGGCCGAGGGCCGCTTCCAAAACGCATGCACTTCTGGGTCCACATACTCACAAGAGACAACGAAGGTGGAAAACTGCCGCCCGAGCCATGATTCCGTTCTCATTTATACAAGACCCGTAACCAAAAAAATCAGAAATTCAAGAGTTGATCTTGTTCGCCACACACTTTCTCTTTCTTACGTACGCGCACCTTTTTGAATGTCGTTTTTTCGTGTAAAGTTTGACCAAATCTTTCCGATGTATATAAGATCTGAATATTCATTGTTTAAAAACCCGTGTGCATAAGGAAACCTGGATCATAGGATAGGACACAACTGGTGAGTGGGGGAGTTCTGAAACGGGATGAGCAATTTAGTGGAGCAATATCTATAGGATATGGTCTAACTTGTTTTAGACAGTCGTAAATCCTACGGGGCTGGCATTAGTTAAACCGATCGCATAATGCGTGGTATTTTTGTACAGTCATTTTATTTAATCGATCACGCGAGGGGGCGGGGAGGGGAGCATTTATAAGAAAAACGTTCATGCGTAACACTTTGCGTCACTGTTGTATGGGTTAAAAAAAACTTTTTTAGTTAAGATCATCCGTTTGCCCAATAAGTAACCACATTCTTCAAGTACGGGTGACGGAATAAGTGGTATGCATTTTAATCAACGTAATGAGTGATTGTTAAAGATAGCTCACATCACCTAACCTTCCTTAGTGATGATGAATATGTGAACGAGATAACGCACAACCAGCACCAAAAATCAGACAGTATTTTTGTTCAGATAATTTCCTGTTGTGCTCGTATAACTCAGTGGGATTTATGAAAGAGATTTCAACGATTGGCTTATTGAACAGTAAAGAGAAAATTAAGATGGCCATGGACAGAGCTGACTGCATGTGTGTGTATATATTGAAGTAAACACACCTTGTACTTAATCAGAAGTGAGGACCAGATTTCAGTTAAAGAATCATCTGATGTGCTCATACAGTCTTGCACGGATGAAAACGGTTTGATAAAGCTACACCAGTAGTGATTTAAATACCCCTATCTCGGTTCGTAAACTACTAAAGATATAAAACTGAGGAGAAACTGGATTCATCAGTTTGGAATTCTACAAACAACCTGTTACATAATGGTGGTTTGTGTACAAGTGACTGAGTTATGTGTGATAACAAGAAAATATGGAGTGAACTTAAGTCTTATCGTCAAGCCAGACTACGTGCGTTGTGATGTAGCGGACAAAGTGGATGCGATTGGCTATAAACGCTTGCTTCAACTGCAACAGCTGGTTTGTACAGCAGCTCCCTGCTAGATCAAGCTCGTTACTGTATGATGTGTCGAAAGAAAATCGTTGTTTACCATATATATATATATACATATATATATATATATATATATATATATATATATATATATGGT